AACCCTTCAAACCCTCCTCATACTCCCACACTGCTGTATTTTTACTGAAGCTGTATGTTTAATACTATGTGTTAGATTTGCTGATGTCTACAGTGGTGTGTTTATCAAATATTTATAAAGATAATTTGTGACAATATATTGAACATATAAGTATTAATGTAATTAATGTTTGAAGGTTATAATCTTGTTTATTATTTTCATCTTTCTTCCTTCTAATATGATCAGTTTTAACATGAGATGTTTGTTTTTCTCATTAAGTTAATGTGGAAACAATTTATTCTTGCTGCAGTAATATATTAAATCCGTTCTTGATAGGTGAACGGTATCTCATTCTTAAAAGTGAACAAGAATATTGCAGAATTCAACAATAATAGATTTCTTCTAATAGCAAACTTGATAGCTCCATGCCTCCATGTCTATTAGCAGGAAAGTGAAATTAGGCAACCTCCAGACAAGGTAGAGGTTTTGTTATATATATGCAGAAAAATAATAGTTTATAGACAACACTTTAAAAAAATCCTAAGTTGCCCACAAACTCCAAAAGAAGGATTCAATAGGCTCATTGCCCTTCTGGAGTCAATGCATGTTCAGGTCAAATGAAGGGAGGGAACACAACATTGGGGTGGGGGAAGCTACCTTCCCACCCCCATTTTTGTGTCCCTCCCTTGAGCTCTGAGCAGCATCTGGGGTAGGATTTTAATTGCAAAGGATACATATTCTAATATTCTCCTTTTCAGTTCAGGATGCTTTTGGAGCTAAGCATCCTGGCAGGATTATAGAAGTCTTTTTCTTTTGATCTATCCCCAAGTACTCTTTAAAATGCAGGGGAAAGAGCATCTGTAGTTTATAGTCTCCAACAATGGGGAGTAAAATTGTGAGTGGAGAGTGTATGCCATAAAACATCATGCAACAATTTGCCCTCCCTCAAATTATTTTATTCAGTTCAGGGATGGAGAGGTAAAAATGTGTGTGTATGTATATGTGTCCCACACAGTTTAGGGGTTACATGAGCATCTGTGTGCTCACTGTGGCCATGAACCTCAGTAGAGCACTAAAGAAATATTGCACTACAATGCTAGACTGTGAAAAGTTCATGGCTAGATGGGCAGGAAGCTATTCATCTAGCCCCAGCACTCAGTCTAACAATATTGCTATAGAAAGGGAGGAGAATTTCCTGATATTTCTTTTACCTCCATCCTCCCTGTGATTGGAGCACCCAATTTGTCTTCATTATCTTCTTGATTACTTTCTTGATCATATTCCAAAACTTCCAAGCTACCAGACAGCCCTGCCACTTTATGGAAATAAGTACAACTTTGTGGCACTTACAGCATAATGGACTGTTTGCACCCATTATCAGATACAGTTTCTTAGATATGATGTACCATCTGGTCATTTACTTAAAACTTTAAATTGGTACATAAAGAAAAATCATCATGTTTCCAACTATAATTCCATATGTCAAAAGCAACAGATTTCCTAAGATGTTGTCCTTAGTTGATCACAGTTATTGACTTATTTATTCTGCTTCTGAGTCCTTTATATGCCCTGGTTTGATTTTTGGTTTAACAGTATGTCTTCATGTGTTTATAAATTGTATTCTCTCCACTATGCGAAGAAACCAATCTGACTAAAATCTGGATTATTAGGATTAAAAACTTGAGTTGTTGACTATTGAGGCTGTACTGTTGGCATGTGGTTTACTTTTGTAGTTTTAAGATGGTTTGGGTGGAGTGTTTCATATATCACCATGGGTGCTGCATAAATAGAGAGGCATCTCTAAAGCTGTAAAATGGGGGTTTATATTACTATTGCAGAAAGTCCTGATGATAGAACTTTATTCACATTCCCAGATACCCCAGTTCATAGCTTTCGTCAATCAGCATTCTGTGGTTGTGGACTGAATAATTTAGAGTTAATAGCAAACTTGGCTATTTCACTTTTTGTCTTGTTTCTTGAATAGTATATTTTAAAAGAAATGGTAGCCTCATGGCTGCTTTTATTTTCCTATTTTTTAACGTTTCTATTTTGTACGAGGCTTCATAGAGTAAAATTATGTGTGTCCACTGTGCTACACTATTACCACTATTACTATACAACCAAGGCGAGGGGGGAGTCTACCTTGTGTGCCCCCCCAAAGCCTTGGTTGTCAAAAGCAATAGTTTTCAATTGATCATGAGGAGTTCTTTTTGTGGTGTGTCCTTAAAGCTTGCCTTTTAAAAAAAGCTATCAGGATCATATAAAAGGCTTTGATATAAATTATATACTCTGTGCTCTGTTTTTAAGAATAGAGTCCTACAAATATCTAGGTATCTTTTTATAGGAGTAATAAAAAGGGTTCATTTTTAGCTCAGCCAGAGCAATGTAGCCTCAGCTAGTGGCATACAAAGGCCATGAGCAGTGGTTCTCATATTATGGACTGGGATTACAGCTCTCTCACCTGGGGTTCTTGAGGCCAGGAGAAACAATAGGATGAGCTGAGTAAGGAGGCTCTGGAAACGTCAGTGGGAGAAATGGGTTTGCCGTTGCCTGTATTGCAAATTTGTGTTACTGCATATATTGGGGAGGGGCTGCAGCTCACTAGTAGAGCATTTTCTTAGCATTCAGAAGGTCCCAGGTTCCTTGGCATCTCCAAATAAAAGTATCAAGTAGTAGGCGATATAAAAGACCTCTGCCTGAGATCCTGGATAGCTGCTGCCAGTCTAAGTAGACAATACTGACCTTGATGTACCAAGGGACTGATTCAGTATCAAACAGTTTCATGTGTTCAAGTAGAGCCTATTTCTCAATCATAAAAGAATACCTGTAGCTTTCAGAAATTGATGCCCTCAGTGGCCATTGCTAGGTGACCACAATAGTATTGCTGGCTTTGAAAACTTGGTTTAAGGCAGGGCCCTTTGCAGGGCTCTTTTGGCCTTTGAGGGAGGACTCATTGGGGCCAGGCCTTCCAGCACCCACTGGGCAACTTGCTGTGATACAGTTTGCATGATTCACACAGGCCTGGCTGCTTGCTGTTGTTCAACAGCAACCACCCCATAAAAGCCAATGTGGTATTTCCATTTCATTTATTAGCTTCATTGACCCAAGGTCTTAAGCCAAACATACAAACAGCAACTATAAAATGCATTACATATAACTACAAGATAATTTAGACCAAACGTCTTTACAATAAAAGCTAGTAAACATACTCTCGAACAGTATTATCAGACCACATTTTATAAACTTCAATGAATTCTATAAAATCCCATGATATTATAGCCAACCTGGTATAGTGATTAGGTTTTTGGACTAACTGGGAAATCCATGTTCAAATGCCACTCTGCTGTAAAAGTTCACTGTGTGACTTTGGGCCAGTCACACACACTCAGCCTAACTTCCCTCCTTCAAGGTTGTTCTGAGGATAAAATGGAGAGGAGAATAGTGTGTAAAGTCCCCCTTGTGGAGTTAAGTTGTTTTGAGCCTCCCTTGTGGAGAAAGGCAGAAATGAAGTAAATAATAACCATAGCTGAGGGGGATGATAAAAGGTAGGTGGGTGGGTGGGTAGGTGGGTGGGTTAAAAGAGAGAAGGAAGCCAGGAAAGGTGAAAATATGCAGGCTGGAAATGAATTCTGAAAAAATATAGTGCATTTAGAAATGGATCCTGGTTCAAGAGTGTGAGAACCAGAGGTCTGTATGTAGGTTATAAGATCAGTGTACTTCTGAAGAATACTCACACTATCAGCTCTATATGTTGTATTACGAAAGTGATTTTTTTTTTACTGAAGAGATATTCAAAGGCACATCTCAAATGGCCATAAAATTAACATGCGTAACTTCTCATAGCTATCTGGCAGATTTGCAATAAACACTGATTTTAATGTGGTATAATGGTTAAAATGTTAAAACTCAGGGACACCTGAGTTCAAATTCCCACATGTGATGAACCTCACAGGATGACCTTAGGACAGCCATTCTCTCTCAGCCTTAACCTACTTCACAAAGTTGTTGCAAGGGAAAAAATGGAGGAGAGAACCATGTAGGCAGCTCTGAGCTGCTTGAGGAAAGGTGGGAGAAATAAATGCAGTAAATACTTTAAACTGAAATTGTTTTCTGTCTACCCTTCAAATTCCGATTTATCTTAAAAGCTAAAAATTGTTGCATTGGTTCAAACACCATCTTGCAATGATATGCAATTCACACTTAAGAATCATCCTTTAAAAGCTGAACTATGTGTTCCATGCAAAAATAAGTAACCCTGTAGCTCTCTTTATATTGGAAACCCCTTTTGGTAAGGAAATGAATGGAACTGGAAAAGGTAGGGTGGAATCTTTCCCTGATTCAAAGCGTAAGCTCACTATTGGGAATCAAATGTATATTTGCTCCCACCACCTTCTTGGTTAACTGTTCTGTATGCTTATGTGAATTAATTTTTTTAAAATGGTAAGCTATTCTTAATAGACAAATATTTACTCTGTTGTGCTGAGTGCGTGGCCTGTCTTCCACATGCAGAATACTGGAAATCAGTGAGAGATGGGTAACTTGCAAACACAAGGGAGGCCAGTGAAAACTTGGAATAAGTTATTTGTTGTGATCTGACATTCACCTTCCTAGTTCTCAGACAATGGAATCACATCACAGAATATTCTTCTGGGCCCATCCAGGAATCCAGACTATATGTAGAGCTACTCCTCTTAGTGGTGCAAGTAATCTGATGAGGATTGTGTCACTGAATGAGCCCAGAGGAAGAGTGGATTGTCAAACAACACTGTTGGCACCAATAGGGAAGAATTATGTCTTTCTCCCCTCTACTTGCTTACTGGTTTCTAGTCCTTTTTTGTGCATAGCTGTTACACCCTGTTCTCTGCATGTAGAGGATCCAAATGATAGCTATTGTTCTAGTTATCCCTGCTTAGTTTAGCAAATGTTAACTATAAATAGTTTGAACATGGTTTTTTCTCTCTCTGTAGGCTTCTAGCCAAACATTTTCACTAATGTGTAGTCCCTTCTTCTTTGTTTTTCAGATCAGCAAAAATGGGAAGTTCTGGATTTTGGTTTGCGCCTAGACATGTCAATGGAACTGGTTAAGACCAAAATCTGAAGGTTTTTCTGCATTATCCGTCACCAGGTGTGCACTGAGCAGAGGCTACAATAAATCTGTTTTGAGTATGAACACCTTTTAAAATGGTATAAAATATATAAAAGAATTTTGTAATGTAGAACTGAATAGTTTGTGAAGTTATATCGTTCATTCATTCTATAGTTGTAAGAATAAATGTCAGTAATTGAAAGTATACTGAGCAGAAAATAGGCATTGTTACTCAATTTTTTTTTCAGCTGGTCTTTGAGAATTGTAATATTTGAGCATCACTGTTAAAAAACAAACACTGTCTGCATTGCTCAGCCTGTACATCCACAGATTATTAAATCTGTCTTGATATTCAAAAATGATAGATTCCATTATTTAGACATTCAGGTAAGACTAGTAGAAAAAGATTAAAATGGCCAGGATCCGGAGGACTATGTGTAATATTCCATGTGCACATCCAGGCTTTGCCAATACCCCCTTCTTAATACAGCCCCTTGCACTCCCAGTTTTAAGATCAAATCATGCCACTATCACATCTAATTAGGGCGTAAGGGCAGCCTCACACAATTATCCTAAACAGTTTTGTTTTGTTTTATCTTTTCATTTGGTTCATAGTAAAATGGGCTCTTTGAAGATGTAAAAATTACTAACAGTTGATGGGCACCTGAGAAGTGTAAGGAGGGCTCCACAATGTTCCCTCTAAGCTGTGGAGTCTTGTGAGTAACAATTCTACTTTGTGAGCTACTGGCATTAAAGAGGTGAGCGAGTGATTTGGGTATTCCATAAATTAGTTTGCTCTGGAGCCTGCCTTCCTGAGCTAAAACAAAAATGTGTGAGCTGGAAGCTAAAAAACTGTGAGCTAGTTCACAGTAACTCAGCTTAGAGGGAACACTGCTTGTGGAACACATCTTTCTTGCTGCCTCCTTCCACCAATGTGAAAAGCTGTTTTTTGGGGAACCCTTGAGAAATTATTTATTAAAATATGTATACACTTTTCCTCTTGGCTCAAGGTGGGGGCATCACATGAAATACAGGAGGGCTACATCTGGAAGGGGAATCGTGCACACACACAAAGCCCATCATACACATCTGATTGGATCCAACTTAATGGTTTTTGAGGCATATCAGAATATTGTAGGTCCTTCATATTAACTAATTTTGCCTCCTAACAGAAAAGTCAGAGTGAATTACACCTTAAGGTTCTTCTTAGAGCTTGTGCATAATACAGTTTGTTCACCATCATAAAGTTGAATACTGAGAAACTAATCTTTAAAGCACTTGTGCTCCATATTAGGCAAAATAAACTTCAATTAATTTTAAGTGTTGTTAGTTTTTCTTTTTAAGTCCCGAGGATGCATTTAATTAAGAAATTGAGGCAATATAAGCATCACACAGCTTTAAAATTATGCTTTCTTTTCTGACCTGTGAAGCATTTTTGTAAACTTTGCATTTGATTTTTCTCCCTCTGCTAACTCACAGTTTTGCACTGCACACTCTTGTAGTGACCTATAATAAACCTTGCAGTAAGATTAGTTTTTGCGTGCTGCTTCTTAAGTCCCATTTTGGTCATACTTTTTCATTAGCTAGACAGGCATCATTGGCAGCAATAACTAAGATAGCAAATTAGGGATTAAATCTACTATTTTTTGTTTAGATTTGCTTGAGATTACCTGGATTGCTAATTAATGAAGAAATTAATAGTTTGAACAGATATAGCATCCCAGTTCATTTAAGACTTTTGTAGACTGTCAGTTTATAGCCCAGCAAACATTCAGAAGTTGCTTATTTTTTGTAGGAGATCCCACATTAAATATCTCAGAAGTTAGCCCTTCCAGATATCACACATCTCTGTACAATATTCAGCCATCATTGTTATGATTAGGAAATTGCAGATATTCCTTCCCTCATACCTCAGGTAACATAGCAGTTGCAATTGTATGCTGTTGTAAATATGAACAAAGTTTGAGTCCATTGGCCCCTTTAAGACCACTGGATTCCAACTTAGACCAATCCCCCTACCCACCTGAATCTATCTTGTTGGAAATATAGTTGAACTAAGTATGCAGGCTTGTATTGATTCATATTTCATATTTCAAGAGATGAGCAACACAACCACCCTTGTTCTACTATATTGTCTGCATTAGTTCTTTTGTTAATCATACTTAATGCTAAATGACTGTTTGTAAACCTGTTTTACACTGATTGAAAATTATGTCTTGGTATTAACTATGGTTAACAAAATGGCTGGGGCTTAGGTTGAATCAAGCATGTCTGGCCAAGAACTCCTATTATCTCCTATCCACTGTTTTTGTTTGCTGACATACCAGCATCTTCACAGTTAGTCATGCATTTTTTTGGTACATGGGCCAAAAAGTCTGCATATTCCTGACCAATGTTCCCGCTAAGCTGTGGAGTATTGTGAGCAAACATTCTACTTTGTGAGCTACCGGCATGAAAGTTGTGAGCAAGCGATTTGGCTGCTGCATACATTAGTTTGCTCTGGAGCCATCCTTCCTGAGCCAAGGCAAAAATGTGTGAGCCAGAGGCTAAAAAACAGTGAGCTAGCTCACACTAACTCAGCTTAGCGGGAACCCTGTTCCTGACCTAATTAATGATCAGGCTAAGCATTCTCCTGTTAATACCATTGAAAAATGAGTTACATGAGCATTCCCATGTTTCGTTCATACAAGCAATGCTACCCCCTTCCCTACCACTCTTTTGTTTAGATTTTAGGTTTATTTTTTCTACCAAAATGTAAATTCCCAGTGATGAAATTTACATTTTTGCTAATTTCTTCCCTCAAAGCTCTACTAGTTTCACACTCAGCAAGGCTATTTGCTGACTCTCAAAAAGGCTAAAATGTACTGGGGCATACTTTGAATTGATTGCCTGGATAAGCATCTGTATGCAGATGGATGAGTTAGGAGCAGATAGCAAATGAGAAACTGAAATCTGATACCTACAGAGGGCTATACCTCAAATCACTACATCAGTGTGTTACAAAAAATATTTAGTATGTGGATAAAATTGTATAAGGAAGATAACTGCCACTTTTCTCAAGGCAGGCAAGAAGAATAAGTATTAACCTTATTAATTGTATCTTATATGTTAATTATCCAGTTAATCTTTAAAACAGTTGGCATAATGTGGAGATCAAAATGTTTTTATTGGCAGGGGTGGAATTGGAAAAAACAAGAAACTGTTGGGCTAGTTTGAAGGTTCCTATAAAACCTGTAGACAGACTCTCCCCCAGAAAATATAGGTCTTTTTATTGTCTTTGGATAACTGGCTTTAAGACAGTATCTTTAAAAAAAAGAAATTAATTTGCTAAATTATGTGTTGGAATTACAACCAGGTTTTCATGATACCACAGGATTTGTTTCAAAGGATCCTTACAGAATTTGGAGTAATCATTCTTTTAAGAGAAACTGAAAACTACCTGTCCCAAGTTCTATTATGCTGCATTTTGTGCTTATGCCTGTCTTCTCTCATGCTGTCAATCTAGCTTCCAATCTGTTTTCTTCATAGGTTTTATTTATTTATTTGTCAGATTTATACTCCACCCTCCCAGCTGAAGCATACTCAGGGTGGCTTACATAAACGAATAAAAACACATAAGTAGACAATTTAAACAGTTTTAAAACCAACTAAAAACGGGCCGACATTATAAGGTGCTAATCATTAAATAATACTGATAAAATTATTCAACGATGGCAGCCATCATTCAGTGACCATGTTTATCTGTAGTACCAAATGTTAATATCTGAAATACTAAAGTGCCTCTTGAGATAGAAGACTGCATAGTAGCGATAGTGTTTAGGAACTAGATCATGATTTCCATATAATTCTTGGGAATAAACACTTTAAGCAGTCTGAATCATTTTTAATTGTTTCAGCAAGCACTAGAGAAAAGAAAAAAGAAATGGTACAGCCAAATACACTGTTTAAGAGTGCAGCTAGAGGATTTGCACATGTGAATGTCTGCCCATTTTAAAAAAAACAAACCCAAACCCTGCATGTAAAAAACTAGGATGTTAAAGAAGGCATAAGATAAGACTAGAAACATTCTCCCTGATTTTTTGCCTTTCCACAGACAAGAAGAACTTGTATGTAGGGGAGCATTCAAATACACAGTTCATTTAGATGCATGCTGTGCTATAGTTCTCAGAGTATACTATGTGTGGTGTTTCATTCTACAGTCCTTCTAGATTCCACAATGGTTTTTTCCCTCTTGAGTAAAATGGAGAAGTGGTTATTGCATTCAGATTTTATCTGAAAGAGTCATGGCTTTCACTTTTAGCCATGTCACATCAGATTTGCTACAGGTCCGTAGAAAACTATTGAAACTATATTTGCTAAAATATATGCACAGCCATTTTAGTTTTTATAGGTTTAATAAGATCCTGAAAAATTGCTATCATCTCAAGAACCTGACAGAAAATTGAAAGGTGTACATTTAGGGTGCATGTGGATCTGTCCAATCTGAGCAGTGAATTTTGAGCTGTGATAAACAGCTTAAAAGAGCCTAAATATATTACATTAGACCAGCTGAACCTAACTTTATTTAAGCTTTAATCAAAAGCATCACATAGCAAGTAAACTTCAAAATTAAGTGTAGTTACAAATAGTTGTTTCTTATTTTTTTTTCCAGTCCCCTTTTGCTTTCTTTAACGACCACATGAAACTTGAGAAGCCATCTAAAGCTAAATCATTTAGTGGAGTTGGGCAATTCCCAAGTGTCCAACAAGAAGGCCTGGTTTAGGCTGCGATGGCCACTGTCATTCCTGGTGATTTGTCAGAAGTAAGAGATACCCAGAAAGTCCCTTCAGGGAAACGTAAGCGTGGTGAATCCAAACCAAGAAAAAACTTTCCTTGCCAACTGTGTGACAAGGCCTTTAACAGTGTTGAGAAATTAAAGGTTCACTCATACTCTCACACAGGAGAGAGGCCCTACAAGTGCACACAACAAGACTGCACCAAGGCCTTTGTTTCTAAGTACAAATTACTAAGGTATTAAACTCTATTTATCTTTCAGATTATATTATAGTTTGTTGGCCATTTTAAGCATTGTAAACGTATATATCTCTGTACACATCAGTTGATTTTCAGGAAGTTAATTTAGACATCAGATCATAGTATTATAAATTGCAGTGCATAGTTTCATATGCTAATGTCTTTGAATTTTTTGTTTGTGTGTTATGTTCAAAGAAGCAAGTTTAAAGTTTTTCATTTGTGTAAACTTGTTGCAAAGATTTGCGTGGAATGTGCATTTTCACTATGGACATAAATGAAATATTCACATTTAACCAAATATTAAATTAACGTAAAATCTTCAAACTAAAATGTCATTTGAAATTAAACTGTTTGTGATTTATTATATTTAGGTATGACATTCAGTATCTGTAGTGACATGTTTCCTCTAAATATACTGTTGAAAATTTTTTAGCTTAGCATTTACTGTTGAAATTGAACACAAGTACCTTTTGATCAAAATAATTACTTACAGAATATATCTGTGTTTAAAGGCATATGGCTACTCATTCTCCTGAGAAAACCCACAAGTGTAATTATTGTGAGAAAATGTTTCATCGAAAAGATCATCTAAAGAATCACCTACATACACATAATCCTAATAAAGAGGCCTTTAAGTGTGAAGAATGTGGAAAGAACTACAACACAAAGCTGGGGTTTAAGCGTCACCTGGCTTTGCATGCCGCAACAAGTGGTGACCTCACCTGTAAAGTATGTTTGCAGACATTTGAAAGCACAGGGGTGCTGCTGGAGCATCTAAAAACTCATGCAGGCAAATCATCAGGTGGAGTGAAGGAGAAAAAACACCAGTGTGAACATTGTGATCGTCGGTTTTACACCCGAAAGGATGTCCGAAGACACATGGTAGTGCACACTGGAAGAAAGGACTTCCTGTGTCAATATTGTGCACAGAGATTTGGCCGGAAGGATCACCTAACTCGGCATATGAAGAAAAGTCACAACCAAGAACTTCTGAAGGTCAAAACAGAGCCAATGGACCTTCTAGACCCATTTACTTGCAATGTTTCTGTGCCTATAAAGGATGAGCTGCTTCCAGTGATGTCTTTATCTTCCAGTGAGCTGACATCAAAGCCATTTACAAACACCTTGCAATTAAACCTTTACAACACTCAAATTCAGTCAATGCAGAGCTCAGCTTCTGCTCACCAAATGGTTGCCACATCATTACCATTAGGAATGCCTTGTCCGATAGATATGGAGGCTGTCCACCCTTCTCACCAGCTTTCTCTAAAATATCCACTCAGTTCTACCTCATATACACTTTCTATGACTGATAAAGAGCAACCATTGAAAGGGGAAATTGAAAGTTACTTAATGGAACTGCAAAGTGGTATGCCTTCTTCATCCCAGGATTCTCAAGCATCTTCATCTAAATTAGGGTTGGATCCCCAAGTAGGGCCTCTAGATGATGGATCTGGGGATGTTTCCCTTTCCAAAAGTTCTGTTTCCATTAGTGAACCTCTAAGCACCCCATCACTGGACTTCTCTCAGTTGTTCAATTTTATACCAGTCAATGGACCTCCTTTTAATCCTTCTGTTTCTGTGGGAAATCTTGGAATGAGTTACACACAAGAGGAGGCACATTCTTCTATGACTCAGCTGCCTCCACAAGCACAAGATCCACAAGACCCTAGTAATAGTATAGGTCTTGGATCTTTGCATTCATTGTCAGCAGCATTCACGAGCAGTCTAAACACAACCACAACCCTACCACGTTTTCATCAAGCTTTCCAATAGGATGAAAAACCAGCCTTGCAACAGTTTATTTGTAGAAATGCCTTAGATAACTTTTATTAATGTAGTGCCTACTATGTCATTGTAAACCTACTTTTGTACAGTACCAATCGCGTTAAGCCAGTATGAAATTCAAATTAACCTTTAAAATACTTTGAATGTGTTCATTCATGGATGTTTACTTGGTTTTTTTAAAAAGTCTATCGATTTTCACTGCCAATAGACCCATGCTTTTAAATATAGAACCATTCCCACTAAATATATGTATCCCTTGTTTAACTTTTCATTAAGAATAGATAATTCTCTTTGTCAATGTGGTGGCTATTTTAATAACTAAGAATAGTAATGAAACATTGATTTGAAAAAATCAGAAAAACCTCTGTTATATTCATAACCTGGAATATTTTAAGAGTAAAATTTTAACTCTTGTATGATGCTTGTGCAGCATATACATGTAGACATCAAAAAGTTTGGACCTATCATTTTTGCAAAAATAACTTCAAGTTTTAAAAGGAAGAAATATGATTTAAGTGCAATTAAAGTAGTTAACTAATTTGGCAAGAATAATGTTCCTGATTGGCAAGTTTTAGTTTAAGCTCAAAAAGAGGCAAAATTAAGAGCTGCCTTTGAAACAGAAATATTTTATCATGACTAAACACATTTTATTATTATTTTATAGAATACATTATTCTTCACAAGTATTCATTTTTCCCAACTGACTCTCAAAGGTGTGGTCAAGTCTAGCCAGAAAGTTTAGTTCCTATCTCGTTCATTTGATTTTCCTTCATTTAGAAAATGAATGTAAATTTGGAAATCCATTTTTCCATATTTTCATTGAAGCAGATCTCTTGAGTTGTGTATCTGGTGTGTAATGTCACCCTAAGCAACAGCTTAGATGGTAACCACACTTACTACACCTGGGTATTTGGTTAGTGATTTTTTTTCACTGCCAAGAATTAAAAACAGGACTCTTAGGAGTGAAGTAAAAGCATATTGCTTATGCCACTTTTATCTCAAATACTAGGGTATTTTGGAAAATAACGACAAAATGACTGCTCATGCTGTATGTCAAATTGCTGTTTCTTTTCAAAAGACCCTCTTATGTTCCCAACCCCTGATTACCAAAAGAGGGAAAAACTGTGATACCGAAGTGCAAAATGTAGTTTTGCTATAACTTGGTAACATTCTAATCTTGTCACTTTTAGGAGGAATTTTAAAAATACATAGATATCTCCAATCATTTGCATGAATGAATATAAGGTTTTAAGTGGTTAAAATAAATATACTTCACAAAAACAAAAGTTGCTCACATTCAAGGAGCTTTGGCTCCCAATGTTTGTATCATTAGTTCCTACTTTTTTTACTGTAGGAACCATATGCAGGTGTGATTTTACTATTTTATACTGATATGTATTTAAAAAAATTATTACTGAATAGTACCTTTTTTATGTTTGTGTTCCAAAGGCATTAAAATAAGGATGTACTAATAAGGAAAACACCTTTCAAAATTCTGCAAGCTGCTCCAATATGCTGTGAGAATACTTTCTCAAAGTAGACTTTAGCTCTGCTGCATGATTGCTTCCTTTAGTTTCTATGAAACAGATTGCTTAAATATATCTTTAGTGGAATGATTTGTTCAATATTGCTTTCCAGCATTTTAGTACCATAATTTTAAGAGGGGGAAACGTCAGAAGAATATTAGCAATATTACAAAGCTACTTCATGATTCAAATGGCAAAAAAGTGGAAATCTTCTATTTGGATGTTTTCTTTTTTCTTTTCTTTTTTCCCTCTAGAAGGGACAGAAAGGTTTTATTTCTTCAAAGCAATCAGATCTCTTGAGGAAAATTAAACATCCTTATTTGCTTTTTGTAGATGTTGAATGTATTCAACACCTTACAGAATCAGCACCTGAAGGACTGGCCATTATCCCATTATCAGTCACTGAAACAGTTACATAATTCACTTAGAAATGCCATTGGACAAGTATTGAAATCTGCATTTCATTGATTTCAGAACTGAGTTGAACTAGTTTTAACCTTTCCGTTTCCAAGAGGCATACCACTACATTGTTTATGGTATTTGACAGGGAATGGTATGTACAAAGCATGTTACGACAATGTTATCTTTTCAGTGTTAGTTGCTGGTTAACTTGATTTTTTTTAAAAAAAACTAAACTAGTTTTGCCAGTACTCTTTAGTACTTCTAAAGGCTCCATATTGTTATGGCAGTTCGTTCAGGTTGTCAGATGGGATTAATTAGAAACAGATGCACTTCAAATTAGTAGTTGGGACCTCAAGACAAGATATTGAACCTCATTCAGTTAGTACTTCAGCAGCTGACTACACCTTGTGTATGCATCACTGAAGTAGTATGTATGTGTATGTGGAAGCAGTTTGACAGTGTAGGCAGTATTTACACATTAGTGCTTTATGGCTATCATTTAGGCAGTCATTATTGGCAGCTTCAAAATGTCAGTTTTAAAGCCTGTTTTATAGTTACTGGGTTGATTCTTAAAGGTGGAATGTGGTGTGTGCTGGCTGATCATGCACCACATTTTTTGCAACTTCTAAATTTCTGCTATGGATTTTAAAAATATATTATATATATATATATATGTATATATATATATAATTTGCTTGTGTTTTATTAGTAGTGAATTGTGGAATAGAGTGATTTATTCATTTGGCAGTAGAGGTTTTCAGAAACCATATACTGACTAAAACATGAGCCAGACCTGATTGCTTTATTAAGCTAATAATGAATGTTAAGAGTACATATTTTCAGGATCTTTTGCCTAGTGAGCTCTATATGTATTGTAGGCCAATGTTGTTGTTGTTGTTGTTGAGGAGTGTGTGTGTGTGTGAGAGAGAGAGAAACTAAAGTTCGATCAACTTCTGTGTTACACATAATACAAGATATAGCACTTTCAAAAGAGAACCTAAACCTTTTATAAAAGAGAATTTCTTACAGGTTATGCTTTCTATTATAAAATCTTTTATTATAATTGTTCAAGTGCCATTAGATGACATATGTGGGCCTTTAATATAATGCTTTGGGTACAAAATGATAAACAATGTAATTTTAAACAGGTACATCTTGCAGTGTTTTCGTATCAATTTGCTATATTGCACAGAACCAGTGTGTCTTTTAAAAGGGTTTTACAGTGGACTTCCCTAGGTTTACATATTTCAAATTATGCGGTTTTTCTACTGCCATTTTTAAGACAATTCCAAAAATAATCAACAGTTGTTAAATGTATACTCAAAGAGTCTTAGCGTTTGCAGTTGTATGCCCACTAATGCTAGGTAAGTCCCATGTGTTTCAATGGGAATTACAAATGTTATTAGGCACAGGAGTTCAGCCTTACAGTCCATCCCTATGCATGTTTACTCAGAAGTCACACTAAGTTCAATGGGACTTATCCCAAGTGAGTGTGCATAGGATTGCAATTTTCAGAATGTTTGATAATGCAGTATTTTAAAGATTTGATGTCCTACGATAATTATGCTGCTGTTGAAATTCAACATAGGGTTGGTCCTGTGCCTGTTAGTATGAAGAGAAGGATTAAGCTCTTAATTATTTGTCTCATACACTGGTTTATCAGCTAAAAATGATGTGCCTCTTAGTAATGCAGCCTAGACATTATACTTACTTGCTATGAAGTATATTGTGTAGGTTCAGCTGCCTATCTGCATCCTGTCAGTATACAATTCAAAGCCACCCATTTGACATTACAGAGGAAGACCATATGGAGTGCTGTCGTAGTAATTGAAAAGTGTATTATACGGTCCCTTAACCCTTATAAAATAAGGGGGGGGGGGTGTTGAAGGCCATGTTTTTTGTTATTTAACCCTAAAATTGACACAGAACTGTTGCTAATTGCATGCAAACACTTTTCAATATAAGCTTCAGTGGTACAGTTGAACCAGAATGAATGTTTATCTTCTCAGAAACACTCCTGCAAAATCATTATAGTGGATCATGCTGCTAATGTAACGTGGGATACAACTCCTCTCATGGTGCTACAGACCTCCCTGTCTCATTCAGACTGATGTATTTTTATCCATAGAGAAAGGCCTATACTAGATTTATAGATGTATGATATATTTTTATACTGTGACTTAATTTGTCATTAATGAATTTTTGTACACCACCATGTATTCATATGCACTTGTAATACAAAAAACAAAAACAACAAAAAAAGTGGACATGCAAATTTATACCCAGATAAGCCTATTATTTTCAAAACTAGAAGATGGTAAATGAAAAGGGGGCTTTTAATATAGTGTGAAGTGAAGAGCATGCTTGTTTCTAAAAGCCCTTTGAATACTGACAGAGTAGGAAACATTGTAAAAAGAAAGACACCTGAACTTTACTGGGATTGCTGAAATTATATTTGTAGATAGTGAAATGTTTGGACTTGTGTGCTAAAACATTTAATGATACAGATTTTGAGTCAAAAATAGAAAAAATGCATTCCAGAATGAATTTGTGTATTTCATTTAAAGTTACTATCCTGTGATATGGGAAATTGAGTTGCTTATCATGTATATGTACTTTAAAATGTATTCACAAACTACTGTTGTATTTGTATAAAATATAGACAAAAGATTGCATATATATTTTTGTGTATAAGCTGTGTAAATTAGCTATCACATTATGAAGCTGCAGCAGAAATTCATTTTAAACATTCATATCCAAAGAAACAGACTATTTATTGTCCACATACCCTGATAAAAATATAACTTGCTGCTATTAAACAATAGTGCTGCAGCTTCTTGTGGCCTACAGTGTTATGTTTGCTGTACAGAAATATGTGAACTCCACAAAATATCAATAAAACTACAGAACGGTTTTAGTTACATACAGAATATGTCTGAAATTACGTAATGGGTGTATTACAAAAAAGGCTGCTAATGTATTCTAACTTCCTAATTTGTGGATGCAATTAACTGGGAATCTTTGGCTTAAATTTGGACCTCATGGGGATGCTGTCCCCCCCTCTGAAACGAGATGAAAATGTCAATAAAATGAAGTCTGTGGCAATAGTTTGCTTTCAGGATCCTTTAAGGGATGTAGGTAC